TCACGAAGCACAACATTCGGTGGGGCACGTTGTTTGAAGACATATTTCAGCACCATGGGTCCCCGATGCGAAATAAAAGGGAGAAGCTGGTTGATAAAGCCTGACAAACAGTGAAAATTTTGATAGTCTCAAAATGGCTACAGAACAGGCCAAGATTTTCATAAGGACTTCAAAAGGTTTTCTGCCAAGTTTCGTCACATTCCGACATGTCTAAGGCAGTGCAGACAAAGAAACAGTTTCAGCAAAATCAGCCTCTAACAACCTGAAACGGACCTTTATAACTAGAACCGTATTTTCAGGTCATCAAATGGCCATAGGATCACCACCATTTGATCCGGCATGGTTGAAAACCCCTAAGGGCCAAATTTCAGCTTAAACGGACACTTCAAGAAGACGTTCTAGACAAAAGATCGAAACAGGAGGAGCTGCACACTATTCCCATGTGGGCACCCTGCAACTAAACTCCATTGAATCACAGTCACGAATAGTAAACTTGTGACATCTATATCTCCTTTGATCGAGATTGAATCGCGCTTAAACTTATTGGAGCATGTTCATCTCTTCAAGACGAGTGTTTTGATATGTAGCACATCTCGTGACGGTGTCGGAGCAAGGAGAAAAGCTAGATAAAAGTAAATGATTCAAAGAAACATGTTGCAAAAAATCAGCAGGACATCCACTCACTCGAGTGGCCAAATCACAACGCTCATGAGCCCGATTAGTGCAAGACCAGTTGCATCATGTGCGTAAGGTCAATGGCTATCGCTGGTCCGAACCCGCGCATGATGAACGATTGGATTTGCACAAGATCAAGTTGAAGTCACTACAGATTCCGGCAACCGAAATCCCAAATTCTGATAAAAAATTCAAGATTGCCAAATCTTCGTTTAAGCTCCAAATGGCATCCCATTTGTTGCAACGCGATCGTGGTGACATGCTCAATGCAATTCAACGAAAAAATCATAGAAAAACATCAACATGAAGATGCACTATTGATCGAAAGTTTTCAAGTTATGTGATCATGCCTTTAAAGTGTGACTCATGGCTTAAAATTGATATTAAAATGATTGTAGCATCAAGCTCTACACGATGGCAATCATCTTTTGTTCATTCGGATGCCGGATCGTCACTGGATCGTTTAAGAAGAACCAAGAACGTCTTTAGTTCTCAGCAGGGACTGTTTTGGAATTTCTCCAAATGTTAGACAAGGGCAAATCAGTAATTTGATAACCTATTTTCTTATTTTTGAAATTCATAATTATCCCCAATTAGGGTTGGTTTTGGGTAATCCACCCACTTTTTAGCCCTAGTCTATAAATAGACACTATCTCTCATTGAGAAGGAGAGAACTTAAAAAAAAAAAAATCAGTGTACAAAGATTCGACTTTTGATCAATAAAATCAAGGCTTTCTTCTTGAGTTCTCTTGAGTTCTCTTGAGCACATCTTAGAGAGATAGATGAGAGAGAAATTTAAGAGTGATACCCCTCTTATCATCAAGGTATTTTCTCTCTCTTCCCTTCTTTCTCTTTAGTTTTCTTTTTCTCTCGAGAAAGTTTAGAGCGGTTCCCCTCCTATCTTCAAGGTATTTTCTCTCTCTTCCCTTCTTCTTTCTCTTTGATTTTCTTTTTCTCTCGAGAAAGTTTAGAGCGATACCCCTCCTATCTTCAAGGTATTTCCTCTCTCTTCCCTTCTTCTTTCTCTTTGGTTTTCTTTTTCTCTCCTCTTCTCTCTCTTCTTCTCTTTATTTTTCTTCGTATGTCTTCTTCTTCTCTGCTGAGTCTTTCTTAGAGGCCATGCACGACAATGGCATCGTTGTGTATGCCTCTTTCTTTCTTTTCCCTCTTTCTTTTCTCTCCTTATTCTCTCTTCCTCCTCTTGTGACTTCGCAGGTAGTGCATGGCGATGGCAGAGCCATGTGCGAACTTCTTTATCTTTCCTTCTCTCTTCGTTTGTCTCTTTCCCTCAACATAGTTCACGCATGGTGATAGTAGTGCATAGTGCCGTCTGAAGGAGCACACGGTGAGCTAGGCCGTGTGCTCCTTTCTGCACCATTGGTCTCTATCCCTAGAGGCTCAACACATCGAGGTGAAAACCCTACAGTCTCCACCCCTCATACACACCACAAGGCTTGTGGGTCACCCACTCGAGCCACATTTTAAGGCAACCCTTGTGCTACCCTGAGTCAGCATCCAAGATCAAACCTTCTAAGGTCAAGTCCTGTGCACATTGATCACATGCATCTCATTGCTCGGGGAAACACCGTCATTATGCCAACACGAGTACACATGAGACGAGCTCCTCGTCTTCCTATTCAGAACACACAAGCGCACCCTGTAAGGGGCAGGCCTACATCTGTTCTCTTATAGATACCTGCTCATAGTTCTTGGCGTCATAAGGCCAGATCACTTGCACGAGCCCGGGCTGACCCCCAAGTCTCCTATAATCCTTCTTCAAGGGGTGCACACGCGTCGCCATCACAGACGTCCCCTAGCCTTAGACTTGGGCCTTCTCGTGACTCAATCCTGCTTTAACCCACTCCTCCTTCATCGAACAAGCTCCTTCAGCCTTGACACTCAAAGGTTTTCCCCAAGAGTACCATCTTGAACCAGCCCTATCACTTTGATCGTGTCTCTGGAGCTCATAAGAGAGCTCAGGGCATTGACCTGATGGAAGATCGAGTCCTTCATCCTCCCCTGCCAAAGATGACTTCAGTTCCTGACCCGCATCCAATGCCACACCTGATGGAGACAGCTCTCCCTTGTGTAAGAAGAGCTGACCAGTCGTGACCTAGATCGCAGTTTTGGGGTGAGGTCTATCAAAACCTCAAGGCTAAACGTGATAGAGGTCTGCAAATTTTGACTAGGGAGGTGACCAAAGCAGTCAAAACAACCAATTATGACGACCCTCTTCACGTGAATCCCTTCTACCCCCTTGAGACGATGAAGCTTAATGAAGAGCTCTGTGAACCCTGTGTTGTGGTTACTGTCGTAGAAGAAGACCCAGCCACCCAGTAGCCAAAGTCCCAAGACCATCGAGAATCGGTCCAAATGCGATCAGCATAAAAGAGTCGAGTTCAGTTAGCGCATGCTGGCCCCCTGTTGACAGATTTACCACGTACGATCCATCAAGTTCACAAGCCCTCAGTTGCCACTAACGTTGACCTCCATAGAGAAACGGTCAACGTAATGGTTGTAAGCGAGCCCGGTGATTCGCAAGAAGAGAGCATAAAAAAGTTTGAGGATATGGTGTGCGAGATGATGGAAAAGATCGATCGTATTGATGTCGCACGACAGTCGGCTAACCATGAGGTCAATTCCCATCACTCTGATGGTGCACCTCCACGGCAGCCCCCTCCTTCTACTTCACAGGACAATTCTATCCCTTAGCCCATCTCTCAAACAGATATTGATGCTATGGTCACCCATAGCCTAAAGAACAAACAAATCCTGGGGATACAGGGTGCGATGCCTTATCAAAGGTCAGACCCCTTGTATATTGATCAGTTCCCATTTCTCTCTGATTATAAGACATGGAAGTTTCCTTTATTCAATGGAACCATGTCCCCAAATAAGCATATTGCCCACTTCCAAGCAGCATGTCGAGAAATAGCGGCTGACGGGAGACTTCTTCTCCGAAAGTTCGTTGTGACCCTCGATGGCTTTCAATGGTATGCTCGACTTCCTCCAAACTCAGTGCATACATGGGAAGAGATGGAGAAATTGTTCTATCAACGCTTCTATGAGGTCAGAGAGAGGTTCAAACCATCGAACTTCTCACCCTGACTCAAGACCCCAATGAGCCTGTGGATCAGTTCATATCAAGATGGAGAAATTTGGCGTCCCGTTATCCTAATCTTATGCCTGAGAAGGAAGCAGTCCAAACTTGTGTGCGTAACATGCGACTCGAGATCGCTATACATGTCGAGGCCTCTAATCCGAACTCCATGTCAGAGTTTATCTGTAAATCAGTTCGACTAGAAAGTCTATCATGCCGCCATGGTGGGACACGGCAACCATCTACAAGCTCAGCAAACAACCGGGGCAATGGTAGCTCTCGAAATAACACACTATTTTTTATACTTTTCCAAGAAAATTTGATAAATTCCCAAGTGAACAATTGTTTTATGCGGGCTGGACCGTATTTCTGCAATATGCGGTCAAGAGGTATAAAGCATCCATCTTAAGATGGATGCAAATAGGTGGTCCATCTAAAAACAATTGTAACTAACGGTCCAAATGTTTTCTTAATATAATTATTATTTTTAGTTTTCAAAATTTCTTTATTTTTTCATATTCATGATTTTCATGTTAAAGAATATATATTATCTAAAAATTAGGATCAAACTATATTTAAAGAAAGGATTGTATACAATTAGACCATTTATCTTTGATACAAGGTCGACGCAATTCCTTACAACCATTTTATGTGAAATTTGATAGCTTGGATGTGTCACAAAGTTCGAGAAATTTTTTTTCGAAGTTTGAGCTTGGTTAATGGAATAATTGCAGCAACCCAATTTCATATCCCATGGTCAAGATTAATGGGACCACTTTGCATGAAAGGTAAATGGTCTCATTCTATACTTTCCCTTTAAAGAAAATATCTATTGCGAAGCCTACATTTTTACAATATGCAGGCTGGCTACATGCTAACTGCGTCCATACCTCAAATGGATAAATTGTTTCATGTGGATTGGACCGCATTTCTATATATGCGGTCCAAAAAGTGTAAAGCATCCATCTTAAAGATGGATGCAAATAGGTATTCCATCTAAAACAATGGAAACTAACTGTCCAAATGTTTTCTTAATAAAAGTTTTATTTCTAGTTTTTAAAATTTATCTATTATTTTATATTCATGATCTCCATGTTAGATATTACATGTCCTTAAAAATTTAAGTCTTAAAATCCATCTACAAAATCGATTTATTAAGAGGTCCGCGTTTCTACATATGCGGGTTTGGCCGCATAGTATTGTTTTTTTAACTTATCTTTTGGAAAGACCCCTCTGCAATTCCTTTCCATTTGATTATACCACCTGTCCAACAGTTCACGGCTACTGGCGATTGATTTCCATTATTCCATTACTTTCTCTTTCTCTCTCCTCTGAGATTGTATCCCTTCATAGTTTCTCAAGGATTGCTTGCGTTCACTCTGTGTCAGTAATTTGTGAGTATGGCATCCTTCTTCCTAAACTCCCACCTCTGCTGCACCATGCGACATCCTTCTCCTTCTGTTCTATGTGATAACGGCCGCAGCGCTCTATTATTTGAGGGGCGTTTGCCTTTTGAATTTTCTCACTCTCAGTCTCATTGGATGGAAAAGAGGAGGATGATGAAGCGTGGAGGGTTCCTCCTTGTTCAATCCATGGAGGAGAAACCCAAGTTCGGTAGTCCTCCTGACCTCCCATCCACCTCCGGCGATTACCAGGTCCATTTGCCTTATTATTTTGGCCATCAAGTTGTTTTTGAGTCTTTCTATCTATTACTCTGAATTTTGTTGGGGATGTATCTGAATTATTCTGATTGCTGTTGTTTATTCCTCATTTTTTTTTTCTTTATAATATTCTCATTAATGCTTTGGCGAGAACTTAAGTGGTAAAATGTTTTGCACTATAATGGTGATTGAGTTCGTGAATTTAGTAATACTTCCTAGTGCTATCATTTATTAATTTTCATGAGAGATTGCTGTTACAATTTTCCAGTTATCTACCCATGTTCGTGGTCGAAGGTTTGGGCTTCTGATATGTACATGCTTCCTAAAGATGGATGGGTTCACATGGACGTAGGAAAATAGTACGACTAGTAAATTAATGGAGAAGATATTAAGATTTGCACATGTAGAGGAAATCTCACTTCTAAGTACCTCAATATTCATCATCCACACATTTATGTGTGTTTATTTGATTCACTAAATTACTTCCTTTAGGCACTACGCTTCGTTTCTAAGATATTCCCCTGCAGGCGGGTGTGTTTCTTTCCCTCGTTGACTTGCCGTATTACTTTTGAGCAACTGCATCTCTGTTTGTGGCTCTCCCTCCACTTGCTTTAACGATGAATAATTGATGATGTTTTTGCATTGGAATAATCTTCATTTGCAATTTCTTATTGTATCAGTTTTATATTCTTCTCCAGAGTTCTCACTATTGGAGTAGAGATACTCATTCGGAGACCTTGTACCCTTCAAGTAAATGAAGCATACCATGTGCTAAATGTGCTGGTCTTCCCATCAATTCAGCATGTCTCACATTTTTGTTTTGGAATGTGGCTCGTATGAAAGGAGAAGAGTGGGGCGGCCGAGGACCAAAGAGAAATGTGAAAAGGCATGCCATCTATCATAAGAAGATCGGATAACATGTACATAAGACATTCATGAAAAATTTGAGCATTATGACATGGATTGTCAAGACATTGAAGATTCAGTGGTTGTCGAAGGGTGGTTACATGTCAGGTACTTGCTTAAAATTTGTTGTCGGAGAAAATAAATTAGGTTTAAAATCTAGAAAATTCATGTGAAAGATTGTTAATGATATGAGGCCAACATTTTCAATATTGATGGCCAGAAATTCCTTATCTATGTAAAAAGGGTGAATATAGAAAATAGCTCTGTGGTGAATATTCATGGAAAAAATGTGATAAAACATTGTAACTCATTATCTATAGAATGGGTATGAGTACTCATGTATACAAGTCCACCTTTAATCCAATCTGTGGAGTTTCTAAAGCCACAAAGGCAATGATGAAATATACCAAGAAAATATCCGTTTTTTATTACGTCACCCAGAAGATATGCATTATTCTTTCTGGATGCATCACATTTAAATTCTAGCTAGCTGAATTAGGAACTGCTTGAGTGTATGAGCACCCTAATAAATCCCAGTCAGGCAAGTCACTTGAGATCACTTACTAAGAAATCAGGCCCAATTAGGGACTTGTTTAGGCTACCAATCCTGAGTCACTCCATCTTACTCAAGCGAGTCCAAGTAGGATGCCGAACTATTAATAAACAAATTAAAAGGAAAAGGAAACAAGAAAGGTGAGACTCAGGCTATTCATCATCATCAAAGTCTTTCCCAACTATTTAAAGTTGCCTAAGACTCAGCGGACTCTGAGGTTTTATTTTCCCGAGTCACGTGACTCTTGATCTAGGTTGACTTAGTGGAGTCCCGAGTCAGCCTGGCTGTTTTTTAATCAGTCATTGAGATTGAGATTCAGCTGTCTTAATGATACTCGTTGAAGTCATCTGAGCCCATTTGGCTTGGGAATATGCAGAGTACTAATCCGTGTATGGGATTTTGAACTATGTGATACACTGCTGAATAATACCAGACCATCTTTATGAGTTATAAACTGATAGGCAGCAAAATAGTTATGAAAGGAGCTAAGTTACCCTTACAAGTCTCTCAAACAAAAGGAGGACCCAATATCTTCAACAAAGCGTCAAATAGAATCAGAAGTGCTTGAAACACAAAAGGTTCAATTGTTTCTATGCGGGAGAGAAACTGCCCCATGTTGTAATGTTGACTAATTCAATGAGAAGATTCACTAGTAATCTTACCAATGCACTATCAAGAATTCATTGACATTCTCTTAATAAATTAGATTTTGAATTATTATCATTTCAACAAAAGAAATTGGCAATATTCTTGTTGGCAATTGAAGCATTGACAGAATTTCATATTAACAGTGTTAGCTGTGGTGTAGTGCTTCCTTGTATAAGGTATTTCTTATACTCGTATGTTTTTGTATTTGTTATTTCTGTTACTAATTTCTATTCTTAGTTCTTTGTAAAGTAGCTGTGAACGGTACTTGTACACTTTACCCTGCATTTAAATGAAACCTAAAATTATAGCAAGATGTTTGTTTCGTTTATCTTCTTTCTCTGATTTTGCATGCCTTCAGGGATGATTGTCATAGGATGGGAATCAATCATCAGTGAATGCAAACTGGGGCAAAAAAAAAATATAAACAAAGATAAAAAGGGGAAAAAAAAGAAAAGAAAATCTCAGGTACTTGGTGGCTTTGATATTATGTAGGAAACAAATGAAGAATGAAGCATCCAAATACACTATGTTGTCTCTAGGGCATGTTATAACATGTATATATGTGGTGAAGGACTAAATATCCCTATACAGGATGGCGAAGTTTACCTTAATGTAGAGGGATATGAATGTCTTCTGAGATCCTGATGTCAACCAATGGTCTGCTTTGTCACGTCTGCTATATAATTTGTAGACACTTGTGTATTTTGCTGAAGTCGTGATAATGCTTTCTGTAATCACTTTTTAAGATCTACTAGGTACTCATTTGGCGATGGTGTTGCCTGAGCAGAAGAGTTGGCTAGGAACAGCACCTGGACTTGCAAGGAAAGAACATGGGAGTCTAGGATTTAAGTGGTCCTTGCATTTTAGGACTATGCTTGAGGCATATCATGTTACTAAATGCAAACAATGCCCGTGAAAGATCCTTGGGCAGGTTAATGAAGCTATCTTGGGTATTCGTATTTTACCTAGGTGCTTTATGTTTGTGTCCAATATGGATGTTGTAAATGTAAAGCAAAGCTAGTTTAGAATTCTAGTGGTTTAAGGTGGGCCACCATTATCTCCTTGTCATTCCAGCAACGTATTTCATTGGTGTCATGTGGTTCCTAACCGAACAGTGAGTTCTAATCAACATTGGAGCAGAGCCTTGTGGAGTTGGCATCTTATGTCTCTGTATCATGTGGTCTCTTTGATTATATGTTTTTGCCCTTATTTAAAAGCCTCTTTGAGTTGGTAGACCAATTAGCATCAATCTGTCTCTTTATGTTTTATGTCTCTCTGATCTCAATAAAGGAATGTGAGTTAATTTAATTTATTATTATTTTGTAACCTCAAATTTAAATTTGAAATCTTATTATTTCATCTCTTGCATCAGAATTTTACATGTTACACTGTTTTAATTTTATGTTGATAAAATGCATCTATTCATGCTTTGAGAACTATTGCCTCCTAATTCTTCATATTGTGTAATTTAATTAAACTGCTGTTTTGTACTCTTAATGCTCATTTAAACAAATTACTAGCAGTTTCTGAGACAAAAAAAAAAAAAATCCAATTTTTTAATTGTATTTACTTATCAAAGTCTTCCTCTTCTGATTGCTTTGCTTTTAGTTGCATTCATAACCAGCAATGAGTAAAAGGTAGCAGTTGGAACTTACCAAAGTGTTACTGTAGATCTATCTCTGTGAGACTAACATTGCGCATTTATATATGAGTTTTTGGTGCTGTTACTGTTAAATGCTTATTTTCTAATATAGAAAAGCTTACTTCCATACTTACAATGCCAACTGTTTGTTATGTGTATCAGGAACTCATGCAGAGACCTGGCACTTGTGATCCATTGTGTTCAGTTGATGAAATGAGCTCATTGGAGTTTGAAGCTAATTACCAGCCAAAGACTGATTTGTTGAAGGCGTTCGCCATTTTGGCTGCAGCTGGAGTGGGAGCAGTTGCACTTAATCACTCTTGGGTAGCTGCTAATCAGGTGATTCTTGTTTGAGCATCATGCTCATTTGCTCATTGACCTTATTACCATATCGAGTGGATTTTCTTCGATCATTTTCGATGTTGTCTGGAGCTAGTACTTCAGATCATAGGTCATGTTTAACAAATAAATTATGAGTTTGTGTTGTCAGCATGCACATGTTTCATATGTCACTGTTGGGCTTGTCTTTGGGGCTCTGATTTAAAGTTGTGTTATGCTACAGGATCTTGCCATGGCACTGGTATTTGCATTAGGGTATGCAGGAATAATATTCGAAGAGTCTTTAGCATTCAACAAAAGTGGTGTTGGACTTCTGATGGCTGTTTGCTTATGGGTTATACGAAGCATTGGGGTAGTTTCATATTCTCACTAAGAATCTTTAATTCCTGTTCAAAGTGAGTTTCATTTCATTCCTTTGCAGGTTTACGGTGATTTCATTGGCTGCTGTAGAACCTGCTTCACTGTGATGTAATTTAGAGTGCTGAGTTTATTATCTTGATTATACATCTTAATTTGCATCCTATATGACCAAATGGTTGAAAAATAATCAGGCTTTTTGTCCTGTCACTATTGTAAACATGAATATCCATCTCATCTATTTCTCTGGCGATCTTGTCTCCTCATAACCAGAAATATATCTTTAGACATTCCTATACATTTTCTACACTAAATACAACCATTATCAGTCTCAAAAAAAAAAAAAGGTCTCAAAGACATTGTCAAGTATGTGAAATAACAAAAAAATATCTTAAGACATTCCTATACATTTTCTACTTTTAATAAAACCATTACCAGTCTCAAAAAAAAAAAAGTCTTAAGACATTGTCAAGTATGTGAAAGAACCGTATCCATATCAATAGTTGTATTTGATTTTTCCATGTAGGAAATTATTGTAGTTGATTATTTTTCACTCAGTGCATAATCTAAAGCTCTCTCGCCCCTGCTCTCAAGCATGTCTCTAGTGCATGTTTTATTCTTCAAATGGAAGATCCTGGCAGATTAAAGGTGTTATTCAGGGCTGCGAGGCTCACTTTCTAATCTCTCACACCCACTTTCTCTCTCTCTTGCTAACATACATAGCAAACAACTAGATTGGAAGTTCGTGTGATCGATTCAAATGGAAGATCCTGGGAGATTAAAGGTGTTATTCAGGGCTGCAAGGCTCATTTTTTAATCTCTCACACCCACCTTTCTCTCTCACTTGCTAAGATACATAGCAAACAACTAGATTGGAAGTTCGTGTGATCGAGAAAATTTAGTTTCATTTTTATTTATATATATTTTAAATCAATAAAAAGGTGAGATTAGGTTGAGCAAGTGTTATATGAATTCCGAGTTTAGATTGAAGTATTATATTAGTTCTTGCTTAAGTGAGTTATTTCTTGTTTGTATGTGTCAAAGCTCAAAAATTTACCCGCTCGACCGCTTGGGTGGAAAAATTTAAAAAACGACCAGGCGCTAGCTAGGCGGGACCATAGTTGTTGGAGGTGGGAGCAGGATCGAGAGCGGGATCGGTTCGGGAGTCGCCGAACCGCCCTATAGTGGGAGCTCCTTGGGGTTAGGATCGGTTTCTGTATAATAAACAAGACGCGGATCGAGATCCTTAGGTTTATGGGAGCGAGATCCGACGTCAATGGATTTGATGTTTTGATTAGCAGGAAGCTAAGCTCCACTATACAAAAAAATGACGTTGTAAACATAGCTAGTACGAGTTCCCTTGGTTAAGGAATCGAGGTTTAAGTATGTCATATAACGGGGTTCCTCCTGCTCTAATATCGAGATTCTTAAAGTATAGGAATTAAGGTCCTCAGCTGATTGGCCTGAGGTCCACAAGTGCCATTTACTAGAGATCCCTTATCAAGTGCTCCCGCCCTTAACAATGGATTTATTTATTTTTGTGTGAATAAGAACGGATTAATTATGTAGCTCTATAAGTTGGTTTTTCTTATGGCCACTACATCTTCAGGCCATGACACAAGTTTGGCATGCACTATTCCTTTTAGGTCCTCGACAACCCAGAACCCTACCACTCAAGAGTCATCCTCTTCAAATGTAGTCTCCTTTGCTTCCGTTGTTTCTCAAAGGCTTGCTCTCCGAAGGGGACGGAGGGCAAAATGAACTACTCGCTCTCTCTCTATGATTGATGTAAAAGAAGTTTTCTAAAGATTGAAATGAAAGCATATATTCTCATCTCACAATTGTAATCAGATTTAAGACTCTAAAACAATAGGACACCATAGATATAAGTTTTTAAATGAAATATATATTCTTATAACTAAGAGGGATGGCGTACACAATAGGACTTAATAAAATAGTGAGTCATTCTAAACTATGCCTAGTTCAAATTAAAAATCTAAAATAATGGAACTTTGTGCTATGCGAAAAAGGGATGGGATTTTAATATAATGAAACATATGATTCCTAAATAGTGGGAACTCTGGACAATGGCAATCTCTAACCTGGTATCATTTGTTAATGAAAGTAGAACCCACAAACATGGAATCCAAGATTTTAATGTACCAAAACCTTGGACCATGGTTGATGGGAGCAGGGATCTATTTCGAAATGGATCTGGATTCCACTGATGGATGGAACGGTCCCCTTTTTTGGGGAACGAGATCCCATAATGGAAAAAACAGGGTCCCTATGAGATCCATTGTAGGAACCGTGGGATCGAGGTTCTGGAGCGGAATCGTCACCCTACCCACAAGGTTCCCTTAACTATGGGTGGGACTATTAGACGTCCTACATCTAGGTGCCCGTCTAGGCGGGCAAGGAGCCGTTGGGCAAGGAGCCGTTAGGCACTACAGTCTAGCCGCTCGACTAGGCGCCACTGCGTGACTTGCAAAAAGGTAGAAAAGGGTCTTGGCGAGGGTCAAAAAATGTCTTTCCCCGTTTTGGGGGGCATTCTAAATTCCCAAAACAAAATTGTGCCTTTTAAGGAAGAGAAAAACTCCCCAAAAACCACTCTTTTGTGATTTATCGAAAGATCGATAAATTTTTGATTTTTTCGATTTCTTCTCGAAACAAAGGCAATAGTTCATGGTTAGATTTGGAGCTTCTAGTAGTTGATTTTGAGGACTTTTGGCGACGCAATAGACAACGTTTGCACCAATATTGATTTGATTTTGATATTTTTAAAGTATTATCATATTTGAAAAAGGGTTTTGATTTGATTTTGCTATTACGTATTATATTGTGAATCAGTTGCTTCTTTTTTTACTTTTTCTTTTATGATAAATTTACATGCTTGTAGTTGAAAGATTGATTTTTTTTTGATTAATTGAATTTTTCCTCATTTGGATGATGAAATTGGGCATGTATCATATTCTTTTATAAATAGTTGATTCTTTTTTTGTAAAATGTGTCATGTTTAGATATTCTATTATTTTTGTTTTACTTTATTTGGAAAATTATTGATTATGTGATAACTTAATGAGTTAAGTCTTATGTGAAAGTGAAACTAAAATCTTATATATTCATTTAAGTTTTACTATAAAGTAAAATTAAGTCTTATTGTTTTAAAACTAACATCTTAATGATATCATATAACTTAAATTCTTAATTATATGATAACTTAATGAGTTACGTCTTACTGTAAAACAAACACAATACCATCTTAATTTTATACATTCATTAAAAACTTATATCGAGTTTCTTATGTTTTTTATATCTTCATTTAAAACTTAAATCAAGTTTCTTATGTTTTTCTTCTTAGTTAATGACTTAATGACTTAATTCTTTAATCTTATGTATTTTTTAGGTTTGTTGATTAGGTGATTTTGATTCATATTGATGGATACTCGATCAATTATTATTCATTGAGGATAATGACTTCTAGTGCATCAAGTAGGCCAAGTGATCCATTTTGGAAGTGTGGATCTTGTCCAAATCCCCTTGACAAGAATAGGGTAGGGTGCAAGTTTTGCAAAAAAACATATAATGTCAGCATCAACCAAATTGAAGAAGCATTTAACCGGCATTAGAGGGGATGTGGCCACATGCACTCTAGTGCCTGCTGAGGTGAGAAGAGAGATTCTGGAGAACATGGAGGGGGTGAAAACGAAGAAACAGAAGGTGAGAATAAGACATGATGAACTTGTAAGGACTGTAGATGTTTTGGAGTTTGAGGAGAGGAAGAAGACTTCTATACTGAGATTGGTTATCTAGTAGGCTAAGAACAAGAGGGCCTATGAATGCTTTCTTCCCCCGCCCTGATCTTGAGGTACTACCACGAGAAAGAGGTCAAACAAGCTTAGATACCCATTTTAAGAAGGAAGATAGAGATTAAGGTCATCCAATATGTGGGGAGGTGGTTGTTCCAAGCAGACATTTCTTTTAATGCCGCTAACTTGGTAGCTTCCAGACTATGTTGGAGCAGTGGGCAAGGGTTGAGGGCTCCATTTGTTTATGAGCTTAAAGAGAAGTGGAGCTAAAGAATAACTATTTGAAGACCCACACTGATGCATGAGGTGTATATAATTGCATAGTCATGACCGATGGCTGGAATGATAAGAGGCACAAAAGCATCATAAATTTGATGGTGAGTTGTCCATTAGGGACAATGTTCAAGAAGTCTATTGATGCTTCAGACAAGTCCCATGATACAAAGTTTATTTTTAATTGGTTGACCAATATATAGGGGAGGATAAAGTGGTCTAAGTTGTTACTAATATGTATTTGGCTAATATGGTGGCCGTTAGGTTATTTACAGATAAGAGGCTGCGTTTGTTCTAGTCCCCTTGTGCAACACACTGCATAGACCTCATGCTTGAGGTTATTGGTAAGAAGAAGACGTTCGTGACAAATATGCAAAAGGTAAGGAAAGTCACAATTTATTTGTACAGTGACACTCAAATATACATTTTAGTACTATACTATGTTTATGGTATTATGCTTAGCTATTTGCTACTTATTTTGAGTCTTTTTAATGTATTGATTTATTGAGGGTAATTTACTTAACCCAAGGAATTCTATGTTGGTCAGGTCCTAGCTATGCTATGATGAGGAAGTTTACTGAGAACAGAGACTTGATGAGGCCTGGGGTGACTAGATTTGCCACCTTGTACTTGTCCTTGCAATTTGTATTTGAGCATAAGGAAAAAGTGAGGTTCATGTTTGTGTCTAAGGATTGGACCAAGTCCAAGTGGTTGAGGAGAGCTAATGGAAAAGTTGTTATGGACATTATCATGGACTCAAGATTTTGGAACAAGGTCCAGTATGCCTTGTTAGTCGTTTACCCCTTGGTAAAGGTTCTCAAGATGGTTCATGTTGAGAAGAAACATGCTATGGAGCATATCTATAAAGCCATGGAGTATGCAAAGGAAGAAATCAAGAGATCTTTGAGGGATGAAAGAGGTATGAGGAGTTTTTGAAGATTATTGAAGACAAATGGAACTACCACCTTGAGAGGCCCCTACACTTAGCAGGATATTACCTTAACATTGCTCACTTTTACACTGATGCTGAGGTACATAGCAGCCCTAAGTTCATGGATGCTTTCGAGCTCCAACCTGATCCTAAAGTGCAGGATAAGTCAATGATGGAGTTATATTTATATAGGCTTGCTACTAGATCTCTAAGTAAGGAGGTGGCTGTCAGGCAAAGGTCCAAGATCCCTCTTGGTAAGTTTAGAACTTCCTAAATTTGATTTTATGATTTGAGTATATAATTTCAATTACCCAGATACCTAATTTACTAAATTACTACATTTACAATTTTACATTTACATGAAATAGGTGCATGGTGAATGGGCCATGGTGGAAGCACCCCTCATTTGAGGCAGATGGCCATGAAAATACTAAATCAGACTTATAGCTCTTCTGGATGTGAGAGCAGCTTCAACTCCTTTGAAATCGTAATATTGCTTATTTAGTTATTCACTTAATAAGTTAATAGTTAATAATAATACTTAATAGTTAATTTCATACATACTTAGTAGTTAGTACTTAGTAAATTAGTAACTGAGTTTTTTTTTATTAGGTGCATACAAAGAAGAGGAACATACTAGAGAAAAAACGACTGAACGACCTAGTCTTTGTTCAGTATAATCAAAAGTTGCAAGAGTGCCATTGACAGCTAGAGCACAACGAAAGGGAGGCCATTGAAGCTTTTGATATTGATGACACATGTGAGTGGCTGGTTGATACCGATGACGATGAGGTATTCCCTGGAGAGGGCTTGACCTGTTGTCAGGTTCGCAAGGCTTCTGGGACATCAATCCCCCTTGTGCGTACCACTCGGGCTCAATCTCAAAGTCAATGTCAAAGCTAAAGGAAGGGGAAGGAGAACGCCCAGCAAGGGAAGGCAGTGGCGAAGAAGAGGAAGAGGGTGATGACATCAAAAGAGGATGATGAAGAGGAAGAAGTATTTAGAGGAGACGAGGGATGATGCCCAATATGTTAAGGGCGATTAAGTGTTCCTCATGATGCACTTGAACACCCAGCGTGGTGATGCGGTGGCTGCCATAAAGTTGTTTGGTTGATGACTTGATGTATTTGTTTTTAGTTTTTGCATTGTTGACTTTGTGTATTGTTTCTAGTCTAGCCTTCTAGTTTCCAACAATGACATTTGGGATTTCAAGCATTTTAATGTCTTACAATCTCTTTGAGACTTGTATCCATAATTTGTTATGTGTGTGATTATAATATTATGTTTTCGTCTATTTCACAAGGCATTTGGGGCTCTAAAATTGCCCAAAAAACTCCATAAGGCTTGAAACCCTGCCTTAAGAACTCCTTTGTTTTTCTATTTTTTTATTGTTTTTTTTTTTGGGGGGGTTCAATTTCCTTGAGGGTACCCTATTCCTGGGGGGGCGCCTAGGCACCTAGGCCCCCAAAACGCCTAGATGGGCGTCTGCGCTTTCTTGAACATTGTTATGTGTTTCTTATGGTTGTCTAATATTATGCTTTGTCCTATTCATGAGCATGATTAATGAGTGGGATGGCCAATTTTGGTGGGAAGGCCAAGTGTTGAACACTAATGGTTTGAACAACAATAGTAGGGAGACGAAGGGAGGAATAGGTAGGGAGCTTTTCTCATGGAAGGATATGGCAGATAAGTTTTTCTAGGGGACCAGAACGGAAGAAAGGGACATATTCACCTTAATAGAGGAAGGTAAGAAGGAAAAATTTGAGCTATCTTGGAAGGAAGGTAGGCAAGGTTTATTTTACGAGAAAAATATTGCTCTTGGCGCTAGGTGGTTTTCTTAGACTTCCCTTATACTTATTCCAATGTCTCCTCCATGGTAAGGAGCTGATTTGTAAGTGGAGTTTGTCTCTTTGGGACCCATCTTATGGTGTTAAGTTTTTTACCTTCCACTAACTGGGGGCATGAGGAAAATAGTAAAAAAATTCCAACAACTATCATCATGGCCTTTGTTCTACTTTCAAAAACTTCCAACGACTATCATCATGGCCTTTGTTCTGCTTTCAAACCTTGTGAAGGTTTTGAAAGTTCTACTCCAGTTGTCTCCATTTAAACTGCCAAGCCCACTAGGCTGCTGTGGCAACTGCCATTAAGTGGATCTCTATGCAGCATTCTGGAGATATGGCTTAAAGGAACCTTAACCCATCTTTGACAATCGTGCTATTCATAGTTACGGGGATCTCCTAATGTAAATCACATCCAAGATATTTATTTTTATTTTATTATTGTTGGGATTGAATTTTAGGGATATTCATATAGCGGTTAAAAAGGGATTTTTTTTTTTTTTAATCTAGGATGGGCTTGGATGGATTTCCTAGTTTGTAGGATTTCATGATGGCATGTTCCTATTTTGGTAGGGTTGTTAGATAATTAGAAAGAGAATGATGGGAGAGGGTTGATCACATGAGGAGTAGAGAAATTTCTTAGAAAAGAGATCTATGAGAAAAAATAGGAAAGCTTAGGGGATAAGAAAAAGAAAGAGAAATAATAGGTGGAGATAGGGGCATGTGCTGGTTAATGTGATTGAGAGAGAGAGAGAGAGAGAGAGATTTTGACATGGAGGAGAGAGAGAGAATCATTAGGTTCTTTATTTTAGTTTTTTATGTTTGGCTTGTATAAATGAGGAAGGCTTATGTGTTGAGAGAAATGGGGATATTTTCCAAAGAGAGCTTGTTTTATGAATGAAGAAAGGTCTCTTCTTTTCCATCTCTTGATTTACAGCCACATTTTCCCCTCCATTATTGTTTAAATGTTTGCTTGCTTAAGATATTTAATTTCCCCGAACACTTTTTGCATCATTTGGTATTAGAGCACGGTTCGAAAAAGGTTAGCGATTACGATGGTTGGTCGTGGAGGTCGCAGCCATAGAAATGCCAAGCAAGACCAAAGATACAAGAAAATCAACAACTTCATGGAGATGGTTGAAAAGTTGTTGCAAACATAAAGATTGCAACATCATGCATCGAACAATATGAGATCTACGGTGTTAGATTCATATTGTGCGAAATCTAGTGGAGATCGGCTTAAATCAAAGTGCGAGTCTGAGTAGGAATGGCTTGATGCTATGTTTGATCACACTTATGGGTTTGATGCATGATGGCATCGACAGGAGCATGAATGCAGAGAAAAGTTGAGTAATCGACAACCCCAAAGCCGATGTGATTGGCATAGGGGATTAGACCGAAATCAGTGTAGAGACAAGCAAAGAAAGAATTTTACTACATCCAGATCCATCCTTGGCATAGGATCATCCCAGTCTAAGAGACTAACACTTCCAACCCGAGGAGTTGCTATCCCTACAACAAATCTACGACCTGAGCATCACACAAGTAAACAGAGAAAGGTATGTGATTTCTTGGTAAATGAAAATCCTATGTTTTCCACTAGAGAGGTTGATGCTTTGAAAGACACAAAGGGTCCTAAATCTAATGAGAAACAAGTAGATGTATTTAGAGATCAATCTGCTGAAAAAGTAGAGATAATTGAGAATATGCCTAGCTATTTTATTGATAAAAGTATGGAGGATTCTAAGTCTGATAATGAGGAAATTCTGCATTGTATTAATCAAAGGAAAATGCTAAACTTTTAACATTATTTCTGTTGAAGATAATGTTGGATTTTCAAACGATTCCCTCCTTGTGAACATGAAAGAGCAACCCCTGACTACAATGAAATGGGATTTGGGATTAGATGAGAAAACCAAGATAGTGGTTTTTGATCAAAGCGAATTGTCGATGGTCAGACATGAACTATCTTTGTTGCCATTAAGTGATGAGACTCCAACTTAATCTTTTAAAGATGAGGTTGTGGCTTGATTCTCTATTCGGCTACATATAAAGGAAAAAGTTGATGATATCCAGATTGTAGTTGATGATATGGTTAATGTTGGTGTCGGTGGTAAGAATTATGTGTGCGCATTGGAGTAGTCTAGTAGAGGTGATGAGCATGTTTGGTACGAACATGGTGAGTTGTGATTGGTTATCTGTTCTGAAAAAGGCTAACCATGATATGTGGAATGATGATGATAAATTTAGATGGTTTGGTCGTTTATTGGAACCATCCCATAATTGGTGTGGTAATTTTCAAGTATATGGTTGTGTTGTAACTTGTGAAGTTGTGGACACACCTCTGGACCTAGCAAAAACATTTGATAAGGTTGACTATTATGCACATCCAGAGTACTACGTTGCCATTTTCCATGAAAGAATTGCACCATCTGCATATGTAGTAGTGAATTGCATGTACTGGGACAGATTGCTTAGTACTAAGCAATTACAAGGCATAATGAGAAAATGATGCTCACCTTGTTGATATTTCGGATGTAACATGTGATGTTGCCGGTTCAATTTGAGCGTGTTAATCAAACCACGTCAATAGAGAAGCCTTTCTTCAGGAACAATCCTTTCACAACTTCTTATCATGAGGATATGAGAGGCGAGGGTATAATATGTCTAGCGGATGACATTCTTCCAATTGAGTTTGCAAGAGAAGCGACCCAATATTTTGGAGATGTCCTATCGAATTTCATTGGTATCTTGGCCTCTACGATGAACATATCAGATTTATCTCATTTAAGAAGTCGTAAATTGCACAAAGGAGTGCTTACACTTTTACATGAATATATTCCCCGCATGAGACAGTTGATTCACCACTAAAACCTTGCGATGGCCTCCTTAAGAAATACACAATATTGGTTTCCCTTAGTGGTCATTTTGTTATATGTCATTTTTGACGTACTTTTATTCCCAAGTCGCATAAGGAGAAAGCCAGTAACAACCTTGTCCTGCCGGTACTCAAGACACTGCCAGACCATGGGAACACAGCAAAATAAGTTTAAAACTGGGCAACCTTTGAAAACGTGCTGTAACGGCTTCAAAAGGCATGAAAATAGAAGTTTCAGATACCCGAAGGACGTTCATAAAGTTTCGTCACATTCCGATAAGTTTTGATATGATCAGGACAAAACGATGTTCTCAAATCTAGCTTCTATCATGCTGAAAAGGGACCTTATAACTACAGCCCCATTTTCGGGGTTTTAAAACCGTACCAGACTACCGCCATTAGACCCAGAACGTCAAAAAACCCCCAGTGACCAAATTTGGGCTCAATCGGACCTTACAGGACCATTCTGGGCCCAAATTACTACAAACGGGTAGGTTTCACACTATTGCGCTGCGGCCTCAGTGAACTGGTTGGCATTTTTGGAAACTGTGTTTTCACCCCATGGGAAGATTTTTAAGTGCTCATAACTTGCTTGTTTGGAATCGGAACAAGTTCAAATTCAGACATAAGCTAGGTTTCGACGACCCGGTCATTTTGATAATATATGGCACGCGTCATTACGTGGCCTGAGACAAGAAAATTTCTAGAGAGAAGATGAGCCTGAAACTATGAAAATCAGAATTTTGAAATAAGACATCCCATACTTCGTGAAGCAATAACTCGAGATCCGAAAGTCGGATCAACATGAAATCAGGTCCGTTGCAACCACATCGTGAAGGGCTACAAGGTTGGTACATCTTTTACATTCATTTAAAGGCCGGATAGTACGAATTTCAAGGTTGAAGATGGCAAGAGTTTCTCGGTCTCAGGAATCACATTTTTCGACGATTTCCCAATTTGGGGATATGCTCAAACGGAAATCAAATTGGATGAAATTTGATGCAAAACAATTGTGACAATGTCCCCTGTAATTTGTGATCAAAATGAAGACTTGGAACATCGTGGATTGCACCGGATCCATAGTCAAAGTTTATGGACTTGGCTGGATTTTTGCCTCTTCATGAAAATCTGTTTCAAGACGAATAAAGGACATCAAAATGTTCAGAACGGATCAACCATCCATTCTACGACGATGGATCATTCGAATCATTGCCACAAGTGTTTGAAAAAGCTCCTGAAGTCTAGCAATGGCAAGAGGCCCCTCTGGGAGGGATGGTTTTCTCATTTGCTCAAAAGAACTAAGGGGCATTTTTTTAATTTTGTCCAAAAACTGGATTTTATTTTAATTTTATTGAATTATATTTTCCCACAATTTGGCTTAGTTTCGAGCATCCACCCATGTTTTGTGGTTGCTCTATATAAACAAGCTTAGGTCAATTGTAAAAAGACTGAATCATGCGATAATGAAATTAAGACATTAAGCTTGCTTTGCCTCTAGTCTCTGGATCCAGCGTTGAGGAGAGAAAACTTTTGTGGAGAGAGAAACTAACCCTAGTTCATATACCCTAGCCTATA